GGAGGGAGGGAAGGAGGGAGGGGCAGCATAGGAAAGATGCTCGAGGGAAAGGAAGGGAGGTGGGCGTATCCGCACGGAGGAAGGTATAGAAAGGCGGGAAGGTGGTGGTGCTCCTGGGAGTGACAGGGGCGAAACCGAAGGGATGAATGTAAGAGCGAGTGAGAATCACTGAGGAAGACGCAGGGGGCGGGGGTCTGAGAGGGAAAATAAGGAAAAGGGTGGAAGGAGGGGTGGAGGGCAACTGTTGGAAGGAGGGAAGGAGGGTGGCTGATGAAGGGGTGGATCTTTTTGTTCTTTTGGCCGTGCCGTCCCATCGCTCTCTCCAGGTGGACGTTGACGGTGCATGGACTCTATTTCGAGGAAGAAATTCACGCGACAACGAGGGACACAAGGGGGAAGAGCGATAGAGCGAGCCTGCCTTCACGCAGGGGAATGAAGGCTCGAGGGAGGAGAATAAATCTGGGGAAGGGGAAGGAGGGCAAGGTTGGTCTATGGAGGTCTCGTCGCCAGGAAAAAAGAGGGGGGCAGGGAGCGGCTCGAATGGAGGAGGAAGAAGGGAAAGGGGCCGCGCAATCGCCTGGGAGGGAGCGTGGGGGGACGGAACGAATCGGGGGGGGAGGAAGAAAACATATCAAATTGCCACCGTGTTTGTCTTCAATGACGCAAGATCCTTTCTCTTCCCGAGCAACTGGGAGGAGGCGGCGTTGAATGCTTCCGCGTAACGCTAGGCCGTCGAAATCAAATTAAACAAGAATATGCGTTTTCCCCTTGCACGAGGGGTGATAAATTATGAAGGAAGTACCACACCACGGACAAGAGCGCTTGGCCCCGAATCCCCTTCATTTTTTATTTTTTTTTCATTTCTCCTTCCGGCTCCATCATCCTGGCTCGATTCCTTCTTTTCCTCGTGGTACGGCCTGCGCCCTCGGTCGCTCTCTCGAACGTCCTTTATCGCCCCTTCGACCGTCCTATTTATTGCTTTCTAAACTTCCCTACGCTCCTGAAAGGTCACGTTTCTCTCTCCGTACCCTTTCTGTGGCCTAGACTATCCTCTCCTTCCTCCCTTCCCTCCCCATCACTTCTCCGTTTCGCGCGCAGCTTCCTCTCTGCCTATTCCTCAAAGCCTTCCTTCCCCTCCCCTACCGACCAACCCCGAGGTGCCACACTTGGCGCGAAAAGCCTCCCCTTCCCTCGGCGCCTCTCTCCGGCGGTCTGCCTCCCCTCACTTCCCCGTTCTCCATCCACGCGAGAGGCTCAACTTCCCATCGTTGTCTTTCCTAAGTTCCCGCCTTTTTTCCGACCCTCAAAGCTGTGGGAAAAAAGGCAGAACGGGATTCAT